TTAATAAAATGTAAATTGCTGAGAGTTTATTAATTACCTGTAATTTTATCATTCCATAACTGATAACGGTCCACTATTAAAACAGTCTACTATCAGCTTAGTTTCCTTCTTCTCACTAGCCTCTGGTTATAAAAGCCAGTGAGCTTTCAAACACAAAATATGAAGTAGCTGACAACCCTAAAACTCAATTATATACCAGTTTAGTTTGTAATAATAATAATATGTCAGCTCATTTCTGCTAATTTTCTTACTAATTTTTCTTTTATGTTAAGCACATTCAGCTTATGTGTCCAATATAGACAAAATGGCCATTGCCATTCGAGCAGTTCAAGTAAGGTGGTACTATAAGCCAGGGGTGTCAAATGTAAGGCCTGGTGGTCAGAATCGGCCCAGCAACGGCTCCAATCCACCCCACTTGACAGCTTTGTAAAGTACGGAGAGCAGATATTTTTTGGGACTTTTACCTGTCTTTTTATAAGTTTTACAGGTTTTCCTGCTGATAAAGACCTCCCCCACAGCCATTCATACTACACTGATATAGTTGATTAATAGGTAAACAGTTAAATGACAGAAACATTCCTGTTTTTCAGTGTCCAAAATAGAATTAAAAAAAGACCATTTTCATAAATCAACAATAATTTTGTTTCATTAAAAAAACTTGCTGAACCAAACATTAATGTTTGTACCACGTTTCATGACAGTACAATCGACAGTTTTGCACTAATTTTAAAAAAAAAAACGTGAAATAAGATGTTAGCCTGAGTGGCATAGTGTTGGAGTGGTTACCATTTGGTGTTGCTATTATACTGTAGGCTTTTTTTTTCTCTCAGTGAAGTTTGCAAGTTCTTCAATTGCCTGAATAAGTTGCTGGTGGTTCTACCTTGACTGTAGGTATATTGATTGTCTCTCCGTGTTAACCCTGAGATGGACTTATAAGCTGTCCAGGGAGCATCCAGCCTGCTTTTTGACCAGGCTTCAGCACCCTGTGACCCAACTGGGGTAAACAGTCAAGGTGATGGATGGATGGATGGATGGATGGACGGATGGACGGAGGGACGGATAGATGGACTTAAAACCACATAATGTCGCCATAGGGCCATAAATATTTGTATAAATTTTGATCATGGTACAACTAAAAATGCTAAAAAAAAAAGAGCTAACAATAGACCAATGTGTGTAAACGAACCAGTACCCTAATTTCGTCATGTTGGTTTCCGCTAAAAACACCTATTATGTATGAGCTCTGTGAGTCTTGATAAATATACACTCACTGGCCACTTTGTCAGTTACACCATGACATCCTTTTGGCTTCAGACCTGTCACATAGATTCAATAAGGAGCTGTAAGCATTTCTCAGAGATTTTGGTGACATGGCAGCATCACACAGTTGCTACAGCTGTCTCGGCTGTACACTCTTGATGCAAATCTTCAGTTCTACCACACCCAAAAGCTGCTCTATTGGACTGAGATCTGGAGACTGTGGAGGCCCTTTAAGTATAGCGAAATCATTGTCATGTTAAAGAATCTAGTTGATTTGAACTTAGCTGTCTCCAGCTGTGTCACTATCAGAAAATGAGTACCCTGTGGTCATAGAGGGATGGACATGGTCAGCAACAATAATCTGGTAGACTGTGGTGTTTAAAAGTTCAGTTGGTACTAAGATGCCCAAAGCGTGACAAGAAGATGTCTCCCACCCCATTACCCCAACAGCAGCATCATAACCCAAGGATAAAAGGCAGGTTAGATCCATGCTTTCAGAACTCAACGGACTGGGAAACATTTTTCAAATCTTCTCTGGGAATCATAGCTTCAATTTCTTGTTCTTAGTTGACAGGGGTGTTCTTCCGTCATCAAGATCCAGTGTATTGTTCAAACAGAGATGCTCTTCTGCATACATTGGTTGTAACAAGTGGTTATTTGAGTAACTGTTGCCTTCCTATTAGTTTGAACTTCAGCAGGTCGTCTACATGCCTAAATCCACAGATTTGCCACTACATGATTGGCTGATTAGATAATTGCAGTAACAAGTTGTTGTATAACAGTTTTTCTTTCTTTATTTCATCTCCCTGAAGGTTGGAGGGACATTGATGGCCGCGCTCCTCGTCAGAGAGGACAGAAGGAGTCACTGGACCAGCTACTTGGGCAGATAAAAGAAGCTCACCGCCACTGTGTCTGCCATGGTATCAACAACTTTTTGACCAATTCGAAGGGGCTGTTTTCCCCCAGAAAGACTAAAAACTAATATGAGAGCTTGAAGTATTTGAAGCCTAACCAAATTTCAAAGGTGTTTTAAACTTAACCTTAAGATCAGTGTTTAATACTGGCACGACTTCATGTTTCATGAGCATTTTTTTTCCTGCGCAAAGAAACACAACGATGCAGAGTTGAAATCACAGGTGTAACAGGTTGCTGTGTTTCATCTCAGCATGACAGACACTTTACAATCTCAGGCCGTACATATTAAGGTGACACGTCGCCTCAAAAATAATACCCTCCCGTCTGTCTCGGCAACCCCTCCCCATCCCTCACGAGTCTTTCCATGACTCAGCCGTTCCTCGGCTGAATACCTCTCCCTCTCTGTGACAAAATGCAGATCAGCTTCTCTCACACTCAAGCTGTTTATATCCCTAAACACTGCTGGCTGTAAGCTGGTCCCATAAGTGTCAAAACCTGTCCACACTGCCTCTTTTTACATGACGGCAAACTGCACTTAGCCTTGAGCAAGTTGTCCCTCTTTTTCTCTCACACCCACACGCCCAAACACACTCACCCACTTACTATTGTCCACTGTGGCTAGACCATATTTGCAACAGGGCAAGATGCAATATAATAGCCGGTATTGAGTGGCTCTTGGTTCTTCAGACGGTGGCTGATTGAGTTTGAGAGTTCAGACACGGTAGTCGAGGTGGCGTGTCCTGGGGTCATGTTTGTTATTCCTGTAAGAGACAAGTCCCGGGCTGGAGTCTGGAGAGGGCATAAATTAACACTGACTACTGCTGCCTCCCCCTCTCGCCCCCTGCAGCCCACCAGTCGCCCTGTCTACTGTCCTCACATATATACACACACATAAAGATAGACAGGCTCACACACGGGTACGCGTGTACACGAGCAGACGCAAATATTCAAGTACATGCTCTCGCTTTCAACTCTTGACTCCCCTACATGTCCATGTACGCACCCCCCCGCCATCGCAGCCCGGCTCAAAGCCCACACCACCTTCTCCCTCTTGTCCAAACACTATTAATTAAACTGTGAAAGAAGTCTTGACTAACCCAGGCACCCCAGCAGTCAGCCCTTCTTGTCTCTCTTACTCAGTGTCAAAGAGCGACTGAGGCCTGGCAAGGCTGGAGCTGAACAGAGTCGCGAGTGGAGCGAAATTTGGGGAGGTGAGAAGGGTCGAATGGTGCTTTTTTTTTTCTGGTTACTACACCTCAACTCATCCACCTGAAGAGAAAATTAGTTCTTGTTGGGCCCTGAATGGGGAGGTTTATTGACTTTAAGTGGCTTGGGGCTGGAGTTACCTCACCTGTGGGGAGCTGGGCAGGGGGGGTCTGTAAAGGGTTTTGGGACTCATGGTTTCTAATGAGTGGGGAGGTGCGTTATCTCACCAACAAGCACCCTTACAAACGCACACATATAGATATGCATTCACCTCTCTCGCTCTGGCCTCCAACCCCCTCCTGGTCCACTAAAAATAAACACGTCCCCACAGACTTGACTGACCTCCCCTGTAGGTGAGCGGCGAAGGCTTAAGACACATACAGACGTACACACACACAAATTACGACAGCTCCTTGACTCTGCGCGTATGGCTGTTGCTCGAGGCTTGCCATGCTCCAGCAGCTATAGCGTGTACAGGTAAACACACACAGACACACACACGTGTACACACAGCTCCTCTGGGACCTGAGAGTAAGCAGTTCCCTTTAGGCCCATACTCTGCTGCTGGCAGCCAGCTTGACTGTCAAATGGTACCGCACCACTGGAGAGCATGTCAAGAAATATTCCACTCTGACCGCGATGTTGGATGTGTCAGGTTTGTTGTCAGTTAGGTAACTCTGGTAACAGCCTGCCACTGGGCTTAGTTAGGACAGGAGTAGACACCAGTTTAGAGAGAAAACCAGTCAGAGTCACGGCTCTATTGTGTCTGGTATGCTATTTGTGATTTTAAGCATCAAGGGCATTGGAATAGTTATTCAGGTAATCTGACTCTGTTGTTGCTATGGAATTAGCTTAATCCTTTCTGTTTTTTTCCTGTGTTTTTTCACACAGAGCAATGCAAAGCTCCACCACAAAGCAGGAAGCACTCAGTGTCCAAGAGCCTGCGGCACCTTTTCCAGCCCACCAACAAATTTGTCAAAAGCTTGAAAAGGTAGAAGAGAGTTTATCCTTGAACCGTGGCGTAAAAATTAGAGCACTCCATGTCCTAGGCTTTTAACTATATGTTTAACAAATCTGGTGTGTAATTTGTCATTTTATTTTTACACTCTCCCGCCAGATTTTTAGTTCAGGTTTATTTATATAGCACCAAATCACCGCAACAGTCACCTCAAGGTCCTTTATACTGCAAGGTAAACACCCTAGAGTAATAGAGAGAAAATCCCAACAATCAAACTACCTACTATGAGCAAGCACTTGGTGACAGGGGTAAGGAAAACCCCCTTTTAACAGGAAGAAACCTCCGGCAGAACCAGGCTCAGGGAGGGGCGGCCGTCTGCTGTGACCGTTTATAGGGTTGAGGGGAGGAAGACAGGATAAAAGACACGCTGTGGAAGATACCTTTTTACGATGTACATTTACATAAAACAGCAAAGTACTGATTCTAGTGTTTTTTTACATTTAAACATTCAGAGCTGTATTAAATACTCATACACACATTTTTTCTGCGTTTCCTTCCAGAGGTCTCTATCTGGCGTCCATATTCTACAGAGATGACAACGTGTTGGTGACTCCAGAGGAGCAGATTCCTATTGTGGAGATTGAAGATTCGTATTCAAGCTCACTGATGCAGGACTTTCTATGGTTTACTAAGGTGCATGGACCACAGTTTAACTTGACAGTCACATATCTATGCATTTGCACAAATGATTACAATGCCCCTTATTATGATTCCTATCCCGCAACAGGTGTCCTATCTATGGGAGGAAATTTCGTGGCTGCAGCAGTGCCTCGGTCCTTCCCAGACGTCGTGCTCATGCACTCTGCAGACTCGCCTCAAGATGCTGCAGGCCGTCTCCCATCTACAGGTAGTCTAATAGTTTTATGAGTAAATTATGGTGGCTGTGATCATATGAGCTCAGTGTGAAACATTTTAGGAAATATTATCTGATGGTTTTTTTTTATCAGGGAGCACTGGGAACCCAGGATCTTGGTCAGGTTTATTTTGAGCCGATCAAAGACAAGCATGGTAACGCCCTGTTGGTGCTGCTGAAGGACATGAATGCGTCTCCCAACCTTGACGGGGTACGCTGGACGCAGCTTTGTAAACTGCAGCTCCAACGAAAATCTATATCATCCCCCGAAGAGCCCACTGCGCTGGACATGCTCCTCATCACACTTCATGTGAGTCCGGCAGGTCTTAAGATATTACTGTGTAATTGTAACATGTAATTGGCTCGCACAGAAATATAAAAAAAAAAAATCAACAAGCGGTTTTCAAACAGAAACCAAAACTCAGAAATAAGACAAAACCATGGGACCATGACAGCAGGCATCTTTGTAGACAGTATCTGCATGTGAATGTGCAGAATCGGGACATACAAGATGAAATTTTACACAATCTTACCTCTCATGTCAGTTATGTGTTGTCCAGATATCCACTCTCTTCAAAACAAGCTGATTGGCTCCCATATTGTAGAGAAGTGGGCTGGCAGTGATTAGGAGTTACCTCAGTTTTGTACATTGGGCTATTTTTTGCTTTTGTTTTGGTCAAAGAACGCTTCCACAGCAGTTTATGTTGCGTTTATGTTACCCGAGGATGTGGCCAGATCAAAGCACGTCGAATAAAGGGCTTTGTCGACAACAAAATGCCCCGAAACATGTATTTAGTGGAATCGCTGAGGCTCTCATTCACAGAAAACCAAACACAGCCTGACAGACATGAGGCACCGAGGCAGGAACAATAGGACTTTAAATTGAAATCTGCTTCCAATTACAAGTTCTGTTTGTGCAGACACCCTTTATTTAGACAAACATTAATCACCGTGACTCTGCTCTTCCATTTGTCACTGTCATTATTAGGCCATTCAGCATACTGAGCAGACTTGTCATCAGATTAATTAAAATGCCAAACGTCAGGTCAATCTGTGACAGCTCAACATGTAAACGTAACCATCTTGAAGTCGCTTCACGTTTTAAAGCCGCTTATTCAGCAAGTAGCAGTTTAAACTTTCAGCATGTTGGAGACGATGATGATCTAACCGTGTAACTGTTGTTATTTAGTGTTATATAACTAATTCTGTGTGGATGTTTAGTTCAGCAAAAAAAAAAAAACAACCAAAAAACAATCTGGAAGTAAACCACAAGTTGATTTTGTCTATATAACCTAGTAAACCTGATGCCATTGTTGCAATGCTGTTTGGCCTCTAAAGCACACTGGTTTCGTCCTGTGGTTCCAAAACAATAGCGAAGATTCCCTTTGGCAAAACCACAGCTCACTGAAATATTTGTTTTGTGGCCAGTTATGAACAAATTATATGATGAAATGCGAAAAAATGTGCTGATGGGCTATTCTGTGGACTGACTTCCACTTTAAACACGCTGGAACAACATGAAAAGCATCCAAGACTAACTGAACAGCGAAACATAAAAACAGGACTACTGATTGAGAGGATGCTTACGGAGAAAAAATTAAAAGCACAGCCATCATGTAATTCACCCCGTTCAACACTTACTTTCATAGAGTTAAAAATTACTTCTATAAAGAAAAAGGTACTGAATTCCACAGTTTTAGTTCAGTTTGGGTGGAAATTCCACCATACAATGCTGCTATTTTTACCCCCTGCATACCTTTAGGTCATGCAGTGTGACAACAGTGTTACGGCCATGCTACTTTTGGAACAGGAACAGTCCAGAGTCTGGTAGAGGTTTTTTTCCAGTTGCAGAGCACCAAATCACAGATATGAACTGATGATGATTTATCCTAGCACTGTCAGTGAACATAAGTGGACACCAGACACTGAAGGTAAAAATGGTGTTTAGCCATAACATGTGCCTGGTTCTTTTTTGCTCTAAAAACAAAACCACAGCTTATACGTAGTTTGGCCGACCATTTGAGTTTGTAAACAGCTAACAGTAACACTGGACTGATTAAATACATTTGGTACCTTAATTGTGGCAGACTATGTCTAAAAATGTACTAAAATACAAAACTCACTGATGCATATTCCCAGCAGGGAGGTCAAGTAAAGACTGGCCAGTTCTAGTCAATGCTAGTTGACAGAAGTTAGAAGATACACATTTAATGGCAAATGGCTTGATAATGATTGCTATCAGCTTGTCATGAGGAAGGAAGTCAAGTGCTAAGCTCTGGTTGATGAGGCCATTACCTCATTTCCCATTAAAGAACTGAGGAGAACCATTGAGGAGAATGGAGCTCAAGAAGGATGTGGCTGGTCAGAGCTTGCCAGCTAACTTTGTCTTAGATGGCCCACTCAGGCGAGGTATACGGCTGAAGGATGTTATGCCAGTTACATTGAAATACCAGCTGAAGATGTGGAAGGATTCCCAAAACAGTGAGCATTTGGGCTACCTTGCCCACAAGGCTATCACGAATATGCCCCTTAGTCTAGTTTCTTTTAATAAAAGACATGCAGACTGCATTACGTCTTAAATTTACTCTGTATTTCCATCTTGTGTATGTTTGTTTTAGTGGTATTCAAATGCAATGAAAAGTCTTAAGGGACACCCTGTCTGCTGTTTCTAGGAGAAGCTGGCGTACCACAGGCGTAGCAGGAAGCTTTTGTCTCCAGGCTTATATCTGGGCTACCTGAAGTTGTGTACATCGGTGGAGCAGATAAGAGCACTGGTGCCCCAGAAACTCCCCAACGTGCTCTGTCATACCAAAATTCGAGACAACAGCAATGTGTCCAGGTTGGGATCATGCATTACCTAATGTGTAATTGAATTGCAGTCCTGCTGGTTAGGCTGATAAATTTCAAAAGCAAGAACTAAACTAAACTATCAAAACAATAAAGGAGTTGTTTCTGTGATATTCCAGAGAGGAGTGGCAGTGGCTTCAGGCCCTCAGCTCTCTGGAGGAGTCACTGGAAATGGACCATGATGTACAGAGTGCTCCCCATCGCCTCCTACAGGACCTGCGTAATGCCATCAAGGACCTGATAGCTCACATCAACATTCCTGGCAATCAGGTCAGAACAAGACAACTGTATCTATTTAGTGAGTGAGTCCACAATTTGTTTAGTAAAAGTGATTTTGACTGATGCGTAGAACCTGGGGAAGCATACAGCGAGTCAGGCAGCAGCAGAAGCACAAAGCTCTTTAAAATGACTCCAGTGGAAATTGAGGCAGCGCTGGTTAGACCACTAATTCTACATGATTTCTCTAAAAGAACATGGTTTGAATTCCTGCACAATGGCAGTCATTGTCCATTTGACTTTTCCCACCAACTGTTCAAATGGAGGAGCGCCAGCACCATAAACTTCACTGCTATTAAAAGTTACATGACTATGAAGATAAATATGCACTGTGTTGATACATACACACTGTCACAATCTTGAGCCGCCTCCTATTTCTTTGTATTTTGCTAGAAAAATGGAACATTGAATGACACTCAAAGCTCTTCTTTGCATTTTGGCTACTTTTTGTTCCATTCTGTCAAGATGACCCCACACATCACCAGACACATCACTGGTTTATCCCTTTACTTTGGTGATTTTTTTTAATGCTTGAATGATCCACAAGTCAGTGTTAAGTGGCTTAACAAACAAAACAAAATTCCTCTGAAAATGGTCAGGACTAAAAATGAGTGAAAAAGCAGCCAATGTCCAAAAAATGTTTGAAAGACCTTCAGGAAGCTTGAAGGACTATTGCTCAAAGTCTGTTATTTAACTGTTATAAGAATGAAGAACTGGAGACTTAAAGGTATGAATCACTCATGTAGGGAAATCTTTGTAAATCAGTCTAAAGTGTAAGAGTGTGATAAGGTAACCCCCAATGAGGTCGCTTTTTGTTATACAAGGTTTTTTATTGGTTCCTAATTCTGCTATTAAAATACTGAAACGTATAAAATTGATTGAAATAGCACTCTATGATCCATACTCTGTAAATCTTAATAAACTTGGGCTCAATTACTTGATCTTTACTGTGTTTATCAAAGGAAAGTAGAAATGACTCTTAGAATATCAACCAATTATTACAACCTCCCAGTTGTAGGATTTCTTTAAGATACAGAGAGAATCTAATTGGATGAGGGTACACCGACCTTGAATATTGACCTCCAGAACCAACACAGCAAAGTGTTTACCCCCAACGGGTTGTGGCAGATAGCTATCCCTGAGCGTGGTTCTGCCGGAGGTTTCTTCTTGTTAAAAGGGAGTTTTTCTTTCCCACTGTCGCCAAAATGCTTGCTCATATGGGGTCCTATGATTGTTGGGTTTCTCTGTAATATCATAGGGTTTACTTTACAATATTAAGCACTTAAGGCAACTGTTATGTAAATAGAAGCGAACTGCATTGAACATTTTGCCAAATTTAATTTTCTGTCCGTGAGACTTGATGTTCACAGACAGGATGTCAAACAACCTGAAAACAATTCCTCTGCCACAAAGTTCTTGTACACATACAACACTGCATATATATTCAAATGAAAGCTTAAGATTTAAATATAAATATCTGTATTGTGTCACATTTTTACAGTCCTAAAGGACTTCAACTAAGCGTACATCGATACCTGTGGAGCCAGAGACCCACAGAGATCACCTGTCTCTTTGTGTTTAGGCACAGGACTTCCGTATCTACAGCCAGGAAGTGTTGGAGTTTGGGGAGAAAGTGTGTTTCCTCCTCCTCCTGCCACCGTCAGATGAAGTCTGCACGGCTCCCGGTCAGAATAATCCATACTCCCCGCGCTCCGGCTTCCTCACACTGCCGCTGCAGATCTTTGAATTGGGTTAGTTTATAAAATTTTATGCAGTATTATATAAAAGAAATATTTGAAAAACTGCTGTTACTGTATGCGTTTCTCTATTTCAGAAGATTTTATATTTCTGCTTTTGGGTCTTATTGGATTTCTTTTCTTCCTCAGTGCACTTTAATGCCTATTGCCCCAGTTTCATCGGCCAGTACTGCAGGGTGTCCGCCTTGCTGGAGCTGGAGTCCCTCATGTCTCAGCAGGCACTACGGGAGGCCTTCTCTGAAGCTGAGCTCCTCGTTGCCAAGAAGAAACACCAACAAGTTCAGGAACACATGCAGGTATGACATACTGTCAGCATGTCAGCTATTTGTGATTTATCCGACCCTGTAGCATAGTCTAGGTGTGAATATCCCATTATGATGGACAATCCCAGAGTAGGACAGTATTAGACGTCACTGTAACTTATGATCTTAATAACTTTCCCAAAGCAAATGGAGGAGGTGTGGCGGGATGTGAGATGGATTATGGATGCCTTGCAGTACGCCCGCTACAAGCAGCCGACAGGAGGCATCTCTGTAAGCTGGATAATTGACTTCTCTAAAGAGGTGATGCCTGACAAGCCTCCCTCTACCTCATCTCAGCCAGACTTCATGCCCTCTCCTATGCCTTCACCCGAACGATGCCGTAAGCACTCAGGTCAGAAAGACGTCTGATTCGTGTGGTTCCAAAAGATATTTTTTGTACATGAGCAATTTTTTTTAAACCAGAAAATTTGATATTGTGGAATTATTGTACTCATTTATAAATTTCTTTCTTTTCTTGCACCCTTTAGATTTTGCTGGACTCTCAGATGAGGAAGGCTCCTCTGAAGTTTTCCTCACTACCGACAGTGACTATGACTCCAGTCGTGCCCAGAGCCCCCGAGAGCTGGACCTGTTGCCCCCTTCACCTCTCTCGTCCTCTGCGCCCCTGGAGCCCCGTGGTTTCCTGCGCATCGACGGGGGCGGCTCAGGAGGAGGAATGCATCTCAGCGGGGGTGGACGTGGAGGGGGAGCTCTGCGGGATTCCACACCAGACGTCCTCCAAGCATCAGAGCCGCAGCACGGGAGGGAAGGAGAGAGGTGTGGAGGAGGTGGAGGCTTTCGATGTGGAGGAGAAAGGCGAAGGGGGGCTCCGGAGCTGTTTGACAGTGACTTCATCTTGCCCAGCAGGCAGATTGAGCTTTTGCACATCACAGAGAAGAGGCAGGCCTTCTGCGTGAGGACCAGCAGTCTGGAGTTCCCTTCCGCCCACCAGCAGCCTTACTCCTACCACACTACTTGCCCTTCACCTTCCACCTCACCGCAGCGAAGATGGCACCGGCCCTCATCAGTAGACCGCTGCTGTTCCGCTGAGCGCTGCCTGTCACGGCTTCCGCCGGCACGCACATTATCAGAAGACAGCGGCACTCAGAGACTCGCCTCACCATCACCTGCTGCTCTCAGGAAAGGCTGTCATGCCACACTCAGAGTCTACCCGCAGTACCGCACAGGTCTGCCAAAGGAGACCAGCGTCAAGGTATTGATTCATTTTCCAGGGATTTTCACTCAGAGCGCCTTGTGTTTGTTTTGGCAAACGCTAATATCTCCTCCTACATTTCAGCTTTGTGTAACTCCAGGCACATCCGCACGGGAGATGGTCCAGCTGGTGGTGCAGGAGATGAACGTCGTGTCCCGGCGCATGATGGGAAGCAGTGAAAACGGTGACGAACAGGAGCAGTGTGTTTACTACAGTCCTGAACAGCTGAAGCACTTCGGCCTCGTGCTGGTTGTGGACGACAGAGAGAAGTGGTTACAGGACGACTTCTGTCCCCTGGAGCTTCAAAACCCCTGGCTGAGGGGCAAACTGTGTGTTCGTATTAAGGAGTATTCTCCACTAGCCCTCAAACACAGCCGGGCCACCACAGTGTGATACTTCCCAGAAGTGAGAGGGGCAAATCTTAAGAGTTCACCCCGTGCCGAGATTCTGTTTTGATAAACGTACTGAACTGTCACGCTGTCTGCAGGCTCCTAAACTCTACAATTTTTTCCCTCTCACTGTGTTGATAATGTCTTCGGCTGCAGCTATATCATGTTGTCATATTTTCTGCTGTGTTCTGGTTATCTGAAATGCTACTCCGAGAATCTGTTTCCATGAAATCTGTTCTCCCATACGTAGAACCTTTCTTTTTTTGTTGATGAAAATCAGAGACCCTCATATGGACACCAAATGAACAATAACAGTAGAACAAAGAGAAACCAGTTTTTTTTGTGCTGTCAGAAGTCATTGGGTAAAAGATTGTGATGCTGAGCGAGATTAATGGAGCGTCTCTTTGACTTTTGGCGTGATTGAGGCCAGCAGATAGAGCCGTGCGAGCTGCCAAAATGACATGGGCAGCATCAGCGCCTCCCAGCCACACGCGGACACGGCTTTTCCTATGAACCCTCTTATTGTGCTGTCGGCTCCAGCCGTCCGGCCCCATGTTCCCAGGATGTGGGCTCTGGACTTAGCCCAGGAGGCAGGAAGGAAGGGGAGAAGTACAGAGGTGGCTGGCGTCTCTGCTCGGGGATGCAATGGACCCGACGATTTGGCCCGTCAACTTGTCACTCAACTGCTCTTGGCCACTGTACTGTCTAGCAGCAAGCAGCCAAGGAATTGAGAGCATGATAGAGAGTGAGAGTGAGGGAAAAAAAAGAGTGAATAGGAAGGAGGGTGGAGGTTACATCACATAAACCCCAGCACTAACTCTGGTGCTCCTTTTCTCCCTTTTGCAGCAACAAGTCTGCTGTGTAGTAGACTTAGTCACAGTGTAGCTAACCGATATGATCATCTTGTGGAGAAACACAAAATAAAACCAGCTGATTTGGGTTTTCAAAACAGAGAAAAAACAAGCAATACTTTTTACTCTCTCCTTTTTTTTTGTTATTCTAATTGATGGAGAAAAAAAAGCATGCAAACCTTCCAGATTTGTGCCGAGTACATTTCAAGTACTGTAGTCATGCTGTGCTCAGAGTTAACTAGTTCAGTGTTTTGTTGTGTTTGATTCAGTGGTGTTCCCAGATGCAACAGAAAACGGTGCACTTCAGTCTAGAACAAGTTATCCCAAAGGGTTGTTAAGAGGCCCACCATTTGTAAGATGCACACTACACAGTATATCCCAAACCATGTCTTACTCTGCTTTAAACTGTGTTACACATGAAACGACTCCAGCAAAGGGACTCGTTTTTTGTTTTTTTTTACATTTCTACAAAGCGAGACTCGTGGCCAACAGATCGAGCCATTCGTATTTGTATTAATAGGAGGCTTTAAGGTTATGTGTTGGTCCTACACACAGTTTAGCAGACCACCATCTGCATGTTGTTGCAGTTTCCTGTCACCAGGGGGCAGTGTCAAAAATCTGTGGAACACCTGGTCCACGGACTACTCATAGACAGTATAAAAGATGGAAACAGCTACCATAACATCACATTTTAACCTCAAAGACCACTCTACTCAAATTGAGCACTTTTTTACTTTACTTACTATACTTTTTATTAAATCATTCACCCAGTAACACACACATTTATACAGTACTATTATTCAGTGCCTAAGCACTAAAATTCACATGCACGCTCACACTCTGATGTATTAATCGAGGGAAACTTGGAGTTCAGTATTTTGCCCAAAAATGCTTCTCCATGCAGACTGCAGGAGCTGGAGATCGCGTCACCGATGTTCCGACGAGTTTTGTCTCCTGCCACCATTGCCATGGGTCTGCCACCAGGTGTGATTGGTGACTGCTAAGCACTCGTCAATAAAAAGTCCATCGCCAATAAACATACCCTGGGTATATTCATTTCTGAAACACCGTACCACCAAGATTTACAAAATGAACTCTAACCAAAATCAGTGACTGAGACCATAAAGTCAGCTGGAAAGTGTTTACAGAGGTCAAGTCAAGTCAGAGAGTTGTCCCAGACTCCTCTATGGGACCAGAAGTCTTTTTGCAACCACAGGTAACACCCCCTGGTGGCAGTAAGAAAGAATGCAGGTTTAAAGGACTTTATCTTAGTTTTACTTATTAATACCGGAAACTACCTCCATCTTTTATGCTGTCTATAAGACTACTCCATCAGCTTGGTACACCAGCCAGTTTTGGGTAAGACTGACACTATAACCTATGAAGAGCTGAAATGAAATAGAGTGCCCACTTTTCAGCTGCTCAGTATTCACTCTATATCCCCATTGGGCTGTACACTGTTGGGTTTTAGAGGATAGCACACTCTGGTGGACTGCATAAGCTGCATGCCCAAAATTCTTCACTCTGCGTAGCCAAATACCTACGCAAATGGATACAGACACGGGACCATGAATTCTGCATTGAACAGCTGCTCTCAACTTAATTCAAGCGTATAGTGGTATTCCCATCTGTTCTTGCACTGTAATTCTGGTTGATCAGGTACAATCTCCCACAAAATTTGCGTAACACTTTGTGGGACTACATCACGCAACACCAATTGGGTCTTCAGCTAGCCAACACAAGGTAGCTTGGTAGTCACATCATGGAGTCATAGACTAATGCTACAATATTGAGATCAGGCCCAGGTCTGCAACCACTTGGAGTCAGTCGCCATCTTTGATGATGTCAAAGATGTAAAATTGCAATAAGATAAAGTCATTAGGAATCTATACGGAATCTATTAGTAACAACACAGTGATTTACTGTGATAAATTGACAAAATTCACATATCTGTTACATGTAGATGCACAAAAATTCTAATTAAACAGAAATTAACATCAGCTACTTCCATTCAGAGTTCAGCCAGAATCTCATAGACAAAAAGAAAAAATCAGATTCCTTCACAAACAATAATGTTGTTGATGCTGGTTGGCAATTCAACTACAAAATGACACACGTGCTTGGTGACGCATCACAGGCAAATTGCACTCACTGACTGACTCGCATTGATGGTCTGTCTTTGTTTATAAATTACATGCCAGTTAGTTGCAAACCTTTGACAATCTGTATGAGAGTGACTGCAGTGAGTCTGAGTCAGACACCAACTGTTTGGAGACAAGTTGCCTCCACCAGGTGACCAGGTGTGCAACCTAGCCTGCAATCAAGCGTTGTCACTGCAAACAAAAACAAAAAAAAAGAAAACAATCAGCACAATCACTCGGTAGCCACTGATTTTTTTTTTTTTTATTTACAAGGAGGTTACTATCCTATTTTTACTCTAGTGTGACTGAATCACGCTGCACATAAGACAACTTTGACATCAAAAGTAAATTTGGGTTTGGCAAAGCGCTCAGTTAAATAAAACAACTGATGCCAAGCGCACATTCTTGCTCTCGGTCTTGCAGTTAAAAAGTAATGGCTGGCTTGTTATGACTTATACTCGTGCACTTAGCAAAGCTGTTGACTCACTGGTTTTTGAAGATGCCCACATCAGAAACTTTTCACATCTCAGTTAAATTTAAAAAATCATCTGCTTCACTCAGCTTACTGTATAACTTCTAATACTGGCTTCTGCTGTATGTTGGTAAACTGCACCAAAGAAGCAGTTCAAGTATGGGAATTTGTATATTGTTGCTGTGACTGTAATTACCACTTGTGGCCACAGAGGTCACTGTTGCCTATCCTCGGCAAATGTTACATAATGTTCTTAAATCTACTCTACCTCCAAAATATAACATCAAAAATATTCCTTCAAACTTCTTATCAATCAGAACTTAAAAGCCAGAATGGAGATTTCTTCATTCTAAATTATACATTACAATTTCAGCCTTATTTCCTGTAGAAAGCGTTTGGGACTTTGAGAATCCCATACAGGTACAAAACACCATCTCTTCTTCTTTTTTTTAAAATTATAATTCCATTTGTTGTAACTCGGAGATGCTACCAGCAATAATGCTAGCAATCTTGCTATACATAAAGCTCCATCGAGAAATTCCCCACGACACATAAATTGTCTCAGCAAAGGCAATTCTCATGGAGACCTGTATTTTTCTTATTAACCCCTATTCATTCTTAATGAATTGGGCCTCTTACCAATCTACGCTTTCTTTCTTTTTTTTTAAACTACTGAAACACTTGAAACACAGCAGTCTGTGCATAGTTTACAGTATCTCATTCTAACAGGAAGTTTTTTCCCCCTCTCAGCTATTTTCAGCCTATGATGAATAGGTTTCCTCTTCTAAAATGTCAGCCAAGCTCAGCAACGTCTTACCGTCACAGTGACCTGCAGAATTTTCAAATGTAGCACCAGAAAGGTCCAAAGGAGGAGAGTTTGATGAAGTCGGTGGACCTGGCCTCAGTTACTGTAGCATTCCAGGTTCACAAGATGCCGTTGAAGCTTTCACAGAGGGAGCCAACAGTGGTGTCTTTCAAAGTGTTTACAGACTCAACTTACTTTCCGTACTCCTTTTGTTTACTTGTAACTACTGTATAAAGATGTCTTAAGACAAACTGTTGTTCTAATAAGTTGTAATTGGTTTTACTGATGGCTTGAACTCTTGTGTTAGCGCCTAGATGTCTTCTTTATTCGAACTGTTTAAAGCCGTTTTTACGAGGGCCATCTGCAAAAACAAATCACACAGCCAGAAACTGAACTATGTATATAGACGAACGAGACCAGTGTGGATGAATGTACTGTATCGGCCCTAAATGTGAAAGTAAATGTAAGACGGGTTATCATAACAGAGGTCAAAGATCAGAGAAGTAGCAGGCTGGTTGTTGTTTTTCTTTTTTTCTTTTCAGAATTGTGCTGAACGGGAAAAAATTCCCTTTCCATTCCAAAAAAAAAAAAAAAAAGAGTTAGGCACCATGTTTACAAGGAGTTGGCAGATGCATCAGGCAAAGTCATGAAGGAGACATCACGTCACTTTTTTAAAATCTATTTTTATTGAACAATAAATGAATATTACAAAATGAAAGCCTCGGTTGTTTTTGTGGTTTCTTCTCTTGTTATTGCCGCACACAAGTGTAGGAAGCCTCTGACCTTCATGTGTGTCCCACTGAGCAATAACAACTTCTTTTATGTGATATTACCTTTTTACACTTCCTGTTTCACAGATTGTCCACTCTACAAATGAACTGCACCACACTTTCCTAGTTTGTGAAAGCTGAAAACTCTGTCAGCGTCACTGACATTTTTAGCTAGAAGGACCAAGCAAGCTTGTATTTCAAGTGTGTGTAGATCTGATTCTGTGGGGCTTATTCTTTTAGTTTGAAGTGTCAGCCACATGCATGATACATTCCCAAAAGCCATTCATTCATCTGATATGAATGAGGGTGACAAATAGAGGGCTCTTGTTGCTATATTGAAATGACCTCACCGTTCTTTGCCACCCAGTTGATGAAAACTGAATGGTGGGCAGCTGCACTCTGAATCTTAGCCTATAAGTGGAGAGGGAAGGGCCAAATAAGGCAAACGGAGTAAACTCTCCATGGATGAACAATAAAGTTATTACTTTTATATGTTATTTTTATATTGACGGGAGTGGGGTTTTTTTTACTGTCGTTTTTGTACAAAGCTTGAACGAAGGTTAAGTATTAGAAAAGTACTGTGAAGATGTGACAACACGGCCTTCAACAGTTTCATGGTGACAGTGTGTTACTTGAGGTTTATGTTCTTACAGGGGTCCTTTAAAGAGGAGGTAAGTATGTGTGCAGAACTATATTCAATATACGATGTATAGAAAACAACTGTTTTCACAGAACACTCATATATTATATAATCCAAATTCAAGCGCAAGCATCATGTTTTGAATTAAATTAAAACAAATTCAGCGACAGATATGTCTTTTATGAAAAAAAAGTATTCTCTGTGAAAAAAGACTGTAAAAGACTGAAAAATTCATTCGGCTGCCCTAGAGAAGACTCACAAATTTCATACACCCATTTACAAGCATAAGCTTTATAGTAGTGATGCATTTCAGAATAGATGTCCCCTGTAACAATAGGATTTCCTGATGGGAGCCAACTACACCCTAGCACAAGACAGGAACAGGAACACCTCAAGAAACATGGCTAAAGTGCTGTTTTGGGCTCCAAATTTCCAGTTTGATTGAACGACCAAGAGTTGTGCAAGAGGACCAATCCACCAAGGGTCTACCCCACAACCAATAGGAACCAAAGGATTGTACGACAGAGCAGTGGTACATAATGGGAACTAGAAATGTTGGGAAGGTGGATTTAATGTGTTCTTAAAGTCTGTCAAATGCCACTCAAATGTTGAGTCAGAAATCAAGGTCCTTAAGTAGGTCCTTAACCCACCAAGTATCTGCTCCTTCATGCAAGAAGGAACAGGATGAGCCCTGCCAGAGCTACGAAATGATCTCTGCCACTGGTGTGAATGCCTCTGACCAAACAATCAGAAACAGATTTTATGAGGGGTACCTGAGCACCCGACATCCTCTAGTGGGCCCTGTGCTCACTGCCTTGCACTGTGGACCCTAATTGGCATTTGCCATAGAATTGGCAGGTCCACTGGACCTGTACCTTTACAGATGAGAACAGGTTCACGCTGAGCATGTGACAAACATGATAGGGTCTTGGGAAGCCGTGGAGAATTATGTGTCCTGCAACATCATTCACAATGGGTTTGTTGGTGGGTCAGTGAGGCATATCCATGGAGGATGCACAGGCCTCTACAGGCAACTGCAACCTGACTGCCATTACGTATCAGGTTGAAATTCTTGTACCCATTGTCAGTCCCTATATAATGGTGCAGTGGGTCCTGGGTTCCTCCTGGTGCACAATAATGCTGGGCCGCATTTGGTAAAAGTATACAGGCCTGGAGGATAAAGGAATTGATACCACTGACTGCCCCCCATGTCTGCCTGATCTATCTATCTATCTATCTATCTATCTATCTATCTATCTATCTATCTATCTATCTATCTATCTATCTATCTATCTATCTATC